GAAGGGACCTCAGGAGGTCATCTAGTCCAACCCCCTGCTCAAAGCAGGACCAATCCCCAATTAAATCATCCCAGCCAGGGCTTTGTCAAGCCTGACCTTAAAAACTTCTAAGGAAGGAGATTCCACCACCTCCCTGGGTAATGCATTCCAGTGTTTCACCACCCTCCTAGTGAAAAAGTTTTTCCTAATATCCAACCTAAACTTCCCCCACTGCAACTTGAGACCATTACTCCTTGTCCTGTCCTCTTCTACCACTGAGAATAGTCTAGAACCATCCTCTCTGGAACCACCTCTCAGGCAGTTGAAAGCAGCTATCAAATCCCCCCTCATTCTTCTCTTCTGCAGACTAAACAATCCCAGTTCCCTCAGCCTCTCCTCATAAGTCATGTGTTCCAGACCCCTAATCATTTTTGTTGCCCTTCGCTGGACTCTCTCCAATTTATCCACATCCTTCTTGTAGTGTGGGGCCCAAAACTGGACACAGTACTCCAGATGAGTCCTCACCAATGTCGAATAGAGGGGAACGATCACGTCCCTCGATCTGCTCGCTATGCCCCTACTTATACATCCCAAAATGCCATTGGCCTTCTTGGCAACAAGGGCACACTGCTGACTCATATCCAGCTTCTCGTCCACTGTCACCTCTAGGTCCTTTTCTGCAGAACTGCTGCCTAGCCATTCGGTCCCTAGTCTGTAGCTGTGCATTGGGTTCTTTCGTCCTAAGTGCAGGACCCTGCACTTATCCTTATTGAACCTCATCATATTTCTTTTGGTCCAATCCTCCAATTTGTCTAAGTCCCTCTGTATCCTATCCCTGCCCTCCAGCGTATCTACCACTCTAGAGTAACACACAAGAAAACGGAAGCAGCTGGTTCTTGCACTATTACTGTGCTGTAGAGTGAGTCTGTGCACTGTGGGACCCCATGGCTCACTCTGTGTACTTTTATGCAGTTAGCAGTGTCAATCGTATGTGAACCCCACCTCTGCTGCTGATACAGGGCCTCTGAAATTCTCCCAGACAGTGTCTTTTACTATCCCTGTTGGTATGTACCAAAGTCATTAGCTCTAATTGGGTCCCTTTGCTGTTTCAAAGGTTAACACACAGTTTGCAGCAGGATAATAGCAGGCCAAGGTTTCTGAGCACTGAGACAGAATAAGGTGGTTTTTGTCTGAGTTGCTTATTGCTCCCTAAAGATTTAGCAGACACCAACACCCCAAGGCAAGACAAACTTGCCTCTTGTGCACCCTCCCACCACACCCACTATCGCACTCAGAACAGGCTGTCAAACCAATCGGGAGGTTCTGTATAGCATTTCCTTGTAGGGCTCTTCAAATCATGGAACTTGCTGCTTTGTCCTTAAAATAAAGTTTTTGAAATCTATCTACAGTTCATGATCTTAGCACTGGGTCCCTCTGATTAGATGGCAACTGTGCATTACAACTTTCTTTTGTAAACAGTCTTTCATGGAATGTGTATTGCAAATGCCTTTACAGCTAAACAATAGCAGGACAGAGATTTTCAGACACAGAAGAGGAAGGATAGGAATGTTTTCTAATGAGATGTAGCGAAAAGATGAAATGTGCCTGTTCCCATGGACAGGAACTGCAGAGGAGACGGTGCTCACACACCACTGGCATTGGGACTGTGGGAGCAACAGAGAGAACTGAAACGGAGACGGCTCATGAGGCAAGTCCAAGGAGGGTTTAAAAGACAAGGAAGGAAACTGGACTCTGCTCCATGTTGTGAGATACTTGACAGTGCGGGTACCTCTTTTTCTATTTGTCAAACAAAATATCTGACACACACATCCCTTCCTGCCAACTGCTCCAGCTGTGCATCCTGCCCTATTACTGACCCAGCCAATGACTTGTTTCTTGTGCTTGCTGGAGTAAGCCATGGCCACAGTTTTGGAGCCATTATCAGGTCTTGAAAACAACAGCCCTCACTAGTCAATGCGGAGACCAAAGCACTCACTCGGACTCCTACAAGACCTGGCACTTAAATGCAAAGTGTGTTTGCGCTGTCCAGTTGCAACTCCTGCTGTAGTGCAGTGTTTGTTCAGGGAGTTGCCCCTTCACCCGCTGGAATCCAACCCAGGGCTGTTGTGACAAAGCTGTTAGCAGATGGCCTCAATCCAGTTCCTAGTGGACAGATGTCCATCCCAAAACCCCTTACAAAATGGGGACTAACTGGTCCCTTTGTTGGCCGTCTCAGCAGAGAGGGTAAAGGACTGAATGGTCCTGGCCGTCCACCCAGCTGGGGAGGGAGGGGTCATGGCCCCTTCAGGTCAGGGGCAGGGTGTTTGCATTGCTACTCTCTGGACTATCCCTGTCCTATGGACAAATAGACAAATTTGGGCAATAAAAAAATCGCCATATCCACTCAATAGCTGTAAGGGGACAGACCCTTGACCCAGGACTCCAAGGAAATGGGCATGGTTTAAAAACTGTGGCTCATTAAATTCTCTCTCCCTTTAAGCCCCATTTGCCTCTCCATTTCCCCAACTCTCAGTAGCTGTTGTCCTGGACTATCCCTCCCACCATCACATTTTCCTCACTTCTGTTTTGTCTCCTGTTCCTGAAGCATCACTTCATTCCTCCCCTCTCAGCCCTTCCCATCACACCCTCTGGCTGATTCTGTTCTTGATGTTGCTGGCAACTGGACTGGCCAAGGCCTTCCATCCCAGTGGCACCAGTCCACATCCTAAACTCACTCCAGCACGTGATATGGGCCATTGGTATTCACTGGAAATACAAAATCATCCCTAGCTCTTAGTCAGTCCTGTAAAATTCCATAGTATCTGCCAGTCTAATGGAGACCCCAATAATCTGGTTTCAATTAAAGTGTCCTCCACAGCCAGCATGCTTATTCTTTGTCTCTATCACCTCTGATCAGTATATTCCATCACTCTCCTGCCCCTGACCCATATGAGAGAGACCCTAAGGCATGTGCACAGACTCGACAGGGGAGAAGAAATCACATGTACAGTTTAAACTCTACTCGGCCCCTGAATTGAATGAAAGGAGCTACAGAAGAGAGGGTTTCCCTAAGCAGAAACCATAGGTGTGGAGCCTGATTGAAATGGAATGCTTAACGTTTAATGAGTGATTATAAACCTTCTGTGCCAAAGATCTGCAGCCCTTCCTCCCCTTGTCCTATACTGACACCTGCACCATGACAGCCCCACAAAAATAAGGAGCACTCACCATCCGGGGTGTAGAGCTTTTGTGGGCTGTGCATCCTTGAGAAAGGATACTCGCCCTTGGAGAGAGAAGTGTTATTCCCATTATACTCACACTGCAATTCCCAAAGTGGGTGGGGAGACAAAACTTTAGTCTCAGTGAAGAAATCTTAAGCTTCTGCCTAAACCATTGTCCTTTAGCACACTGCAGCGCTGGGGAAATGGATCCAAAGCATTTCATTCTAGAGCATTCATGAACGACAGGCATTGGAATGCAATGCTGCATCACAAACCGTGGGCTGGGAAATGTTCTGTCACCAGAGCTGCAAAGTACAGTGGAGTAGAGAAATACGAGTCTAGAACCATAGGTGTGGAGGGTAGTACGTGCTGAAGAACAGAGTGCTGAGTGCAATAGATGATGGCACAGCCTGATGCCAAGCCCTTCTAAGCATCACTTCTGCAGCACTTGAAGTGGTGTGACAACAAGCTGTGTTAACCTCAACAGGTCCCTCCACCTACCGTGCTGCAATTGGACTGTACCGGGCTTAGCGATGTATTCATGAGGGGGGGAGAAAGGCTAGACTGTCTTCTACCACTGACACCGGGACACCCTGCAGAGCAGGCAAGTTTCACATCCTTACTGCTGCCTGTGTGAGCCTACTGGGCAGGCGCTGCTAGCTTTAAAGACAGCAGTTTCTCAAAACAGCAGCTTTGCAACATAAACCAATCTTGCCCCATTGTATCTGAGTGGACAACGCACCAGGGCACCAACACTCTGCCTCTGGCCATGAGTGGCTAAAACCCACGCCAGGCAGATATGCTGGCCCAAAAGCCCTTTCTTTCTCACAGTACAGGGTGGTTTTCCAGTCCCTCCTCTTAAAGCACCACTAACTTGATCTGAGTTACCCCAAGATGCACCCACTTCCTATCAGCTCTCAAACTGCCTCTGCACAGAGCCCTCTGGAGACAATGAGGGATTCAGCCACTTGAGAATGGGGCAGAGTCAGCAGTCTGACTCTCATTCTAATACCATGGAGATGAACTTTGACCTGAACTCCGACTTCCACCCCTTAGTTACTTTTTTAAAGCCAACGTGTTTCATGGAGCTAGCACAACACCCCTCCTTACCAGCCTGCCTCCCCCCCACCCATTCCATGCTGCTCAGCCTTGACCCTTCTCAATTACCTGCACTACCCAGGCAGATGCCCCCGCTTCTCATCTCTGCATCCCATTCCCACTGCTGAGCATCCAGCTTCTTCTTGGGGATCAAAACCACTCCGAAACGTGTAACTCAACTGAATGCTTCCGGCTGCGAAGCCCATATCTCAGGGCCTTGCCATGCTCCTTCATCCCTCCCTCTGCACCTCCTGCATCACAGTGCTCAGACCTGATTCTAGCCCTGCCAATGTGTTCAGCTCTAGGAACAAGTGTGTCCAGTGCATGTCACGGTAACTCCATTGCCTCTTGTCGCAGGAAGTGTCTCTTATCCACTATCTGGATTCATGAAAAACTTAGAACCATGTTGCGATGCCCCAACCCACAGAGACCTTATCACAACCAGCAGTTGCAACAGAGTATCGCCAGACAGGTGCCAGCAGCACTGAGAGAGATGGAAAGTACACTAGTTCCACGTGGTACCAACAAGAGGGGTCTGACTCCAGTGCAGTCCCTGGGCACGTACTGCTATGAAATCCATCCCTCAGGTGAGACATCTGATTGAAATGGAGCAGTTAAAGTTTAATGAGTGACTAAAAACCGCCTATGCCAAAGACGTGCAGCCCTCCCTTCCCCTGCCCCATGGACATCAGGAGCACTCACCATCCTCCTGGCTGTGGAGATTCTGAGGGCTGCGCATGCTCTCGTCCTGACTGGGGCTCAAACTGGAGTTAAGATGCTGGTCAGCTGAGATCCATGTGGCGTCGTTCATATCAAAATCCTCGCTGCTCACCGATGTCTCATCCTGAAAGCGAACGGCAAAAGGGTTAAATCTGCTTTGGTTTTGAAGCTCCTGACCACATCCCTTTGGGGGTGCAGCAGCTCCTGCATCCCCAAAGAAACGTGTTCACCTCTTGGCATTTGGGGACTCTGAAAATAGCCCTTCCCATCATGCTCTGGGCTAGGTAGCATTTCCCCTGCGGAGAGCACCAGTGCTCTGCTTCCTGTTTGAAGACGTGCCTGAGGAATGGCTCAGTCTGTAATTGAGGACAATTAGAAAGAGCTTGCATCCTGTAGGAGCGGATGGCTGAGCCCTGCAGTTTACCCTTTAATCTCCATCGACACTACAGTGTGTCCGTGGCAGATAAATGGCTCTGCAAGTGGCGCAGACAGGGTGTGACTTTCTTCAAATGGTTTCAAAAAGTATTAGACTGAACATTGTGTTTAAAAACCAAAAACGCACACCCAAACACCACCACCACCATTTCTCTAACCAAGCAGGAAGGGTCAGGCCAGATCAGCCACTAGTGAAAATCTATGACAGTATGCATCCGATGAAGTGAGCTGTAGCTCACGAAAGCTCATGCTCAAATAAATTGGTTAGTCTCTAAGGTGCCACAAGTACTCCTGTTCTTTTAGTGAAAATCTGCAGACCAGCTCTGATTTCCATGGAGATATGCCCATACACAGCAGCAGGGGATATGCCTGTAGTGTGGACAGGGCCTAAGAACCTGCAGCCTAACGCTTAACCTCTGGTTTTCAGCATGAGACTAAGATCTTCAAAGGCTTCACAGGCCCTTGGATCTGCCTGCAGATTCCTGGGACTTTTCAGCAGGGCCAGGGCCAGAGATGCCAAAGAAGCCACAGTAACACCATGAAAGTGATGCAAATGGGACCTGAGGGGGAATAGCGAGCCCAGACACGATCCAGAAACATCTGTAGAACCCCAATTTTCTGGGTTCCCCTGCAGAAAGGGATGTCTAACCGCAGAGAGAAACCCATGGAGTTGGGTAAGCCAAGATGTGACCCGGAGGCTCTTCCACTCTCCGGAACAAGCATGTATGAACCACACGCAACACCACGATAGTGTGAAATGCACCCTTGCAATCTGTAGCAGGAGTGAGGCCTGCATTTTTTTTTAATTATAAATAATGCTCTACTCACTAGTCCTGCTGCTCTGAAAACTGCCAGCACTGAGGAGGGAACATGCCATTTCAGAAGTCATGGACACCCTCACTCGGCAATCCCACTGACTTTCCTATGGCATAGATTAAATTCCTCTCTCCCACTCCCACTGCTGCAAGGACATTCTTTCTCTTCCTCCTTTCTAACCTTTACTGTGCTTCATGACACAGCCCTTGGATAGCTTCCAGAGCCAAAAGGTCAGCCACTGGATTTCAAAATCATCAGCATTATAAAAGCAGCAGTGAGATTCTGAATGAAAGGAGGAGCTAAGGAACCACAGAGCTGGGCCTTCCAAGCAGAGGCCACAGCAACACACTGTAACGAAGGAAGCACTGATAACATGGGGATGTGCAACACATGTGCTGTAATGGTTCCTCTCTCTGCCTTTTCTCTTGTTCCCTCCCAAAATAAGACCGAGACCCCATCAAAAGCTGTGGAGACACTGAACACGTGCCCAGAGTCACTTTCTGCTTTAGCTACTATTGCCTTGTATTTAAAACAACCTTTCACGGGCTTGTAGCCTCTCCATTTCCCTCCAGCGTTTTGAGCACTGGACAAAATACCAATCCCCACTCCTCTTCCTTGCACCAAGTAAGTGCCCCTCCAACCACCACCTGCACCTTGTAAAGCTGCTCTGCCTCCGGCAGACTTTTTTTTTTTTTTTTTAAATTGTGAACAAAATTCTGTAAGAACAGGTTTGACCTTTCTTCCTTCCTTGTCCCTGAAGAGCCATCTGCGCACTCAGGGCAGGAATTGCTGGGTTTAGCCTGCTCCCTTCCCCCAACCCCCTCCTCACTGAGTTGTGCCTCAGAGGGAGTTTCCTGGAATTTACAGCTTCTGTACAGCCTCAGCTTGAACATTTGTAAAATCATACACTGGGCACAGCTATACGGGGAGGCTTCTACTAACCACACGTGCACTCTTGCACTAGAAGGACACGGGCACACTCATGCTCACATGACAGTGCTAAAACATGCTGCTTCCAACCAAGTATGGACATACACGACTAGAACCCAGGCAGAAGCACACACATGCTTCCAAACCCATGGCAGCTTGGCCCAACAGGACACACTCAGGGTAAACAGCACTTTTTCTTGGCATTTTGGCTAAGATCCATACAACTTTTCTCTGTGTCTTCATTTGCAATTCATGGTTATAACATTTTTGACAAACGTGAACTGACATGGCTGGGGACAATAATGCCTATTCGATATGTGTCTATGACCTTAAATATTCTCTAAAAGTTTTAATCTGATACCCTTAGTTTCATAATAGGTAATGTATGTTGACACTGCAAAAAAAGAAACACAACACCAACAACCCTGGGGCAGTGAGTGTCAGAGCCTGGGTCTACAGACCTAGATAGGCAGGGCTCTCACTCCAGCATTAAAAATAGCAGTGTAGATGTTCCTGGTTGGGCTCTGAGACCTACTCCCCTCCCTGGGCTTCAGAGCCTGGCTCCAGCCACAGCAGGAATGTCTACTCTGCTACCTTGAATGCTCTGAGAACTGCTGAGGCTCTGAGAACTGCTGCCGTGTTTGTTTGTGTTGTGTGGTTTTTTGTTTTTGTTTTTTTTTCTCTTCTTACGCATAGACTGAACTGGAAGGGGATCTTCCACTGCTAACATTATATATAGATATAGAGAGAGACACCAACCGACCATCACCATGGTATCTGGGCATCCTTACAAAGCTTAACCTGGAACAATGATCTTAAGTGGACAGACTAAATGCCAAGGTCTCCTGCTGCTCACAGCTTTCCTTTGGACCAGTCCACATCAAGAGAAGGACTGGGCCCAGAGTGCATCTTGCAGGGCTGAATGAAAATGGCCAGGCCCATGCTTAAGAAAATATCTTTAAGGTGCAAATTCTAGAGGAGACTGCCCTGTCTCAGCACCCACAAGCTCACCCATCGGATACTGGATTCTAGTACATATGTACAGATGTATGTTTATGCACACATGTACATATAGCATCTTTCCTATCAGCGTATTGTGAAACGCTGGGTTACATATAAAATCCCCCTCAGTACAATATATTGGCCTGTTATCCAACGCATTAATTTATCCGAGAGACATCGAGAAAGAAACTGACCCAGCTGAAAATGACTGAAGTCCAATAAGACTCAGGGCATGACTAGCAGTCTCTAACATGACCTATCAGCAAAAAGACCATGCTATTGAGGTGGAACCTTACAGAGGCAGGCGTCCTCCGCACCTTTTCAGCCTGGACTCCAACTGGGAGAACAAGAGCATTTACATTTAAAGACTCCAGTAGGATTAAGTTCCTGGCAGCAGTGCCCCGTTTTTGCAGCATGCAGATCTAGCAGTGTGACCAGCAACATGGCAGTACCCCATCAATACCACACATAAAGCCAGCAGTGGGAACTGCCTCTTGGTAGTGTCCAATCAATACATCACCCAAAGCTAACTCGTAACAGTGTCCTATCACAACCACACACAATGGCTCCTGAAGTTCCTTGCAGCAGCACCCAAATAATGCTGCCCTGGGAGCTGCTTAGCCCTTGGTGCTCTTCCAGTCTCTCTAAACTGCAACACAGCCCAGAGTCATGGATGTGAGAGGTAGCATCTTCCTTCGCTGCCTTGCTAACACAAGTTCTGGATTTAGCCATTTAAGATGCCCTTAGCAGTGTCCTGTCACTACTAGCTAGTACTACACTGGTGGCAGTTGCAAACTTCCTCATCAGAGTATCCTGTCAAAGCAAATAAGGCCCTGAGCTCTGTGACTTCCTTGCAATGCCCTATCAATGCCAGCAATGACTCCTGGCAGTGCCCTCCTTATGCCAGCGAAGATTCCAGTGATGCGAGACCCATCCAAACAATAACCTACAGCTTTTTTCCCCAGCTAGGACTCCAGTAATAGCTTACATTTCAGCTTGTATGAGAGGGATAATTTTTCTGGCTGCAGCACAAAAAGGCTCGTGCACCCGAATACAGCATGGTGTCAAAACGAATGAAACAAGCCAGTTCAAAACATCTGATGGAAAAATCCCCTCTTAATTTTGCTCTGAATACCAATCCTGTGTCTGGACAGTGGAGACGCTTATTGAAGCCTCATCAGATTAAGTGAAATTTTTGAACAGTAGCACCAGCTACAATTCAGAGCAATACGGTAAATATAATCTGCCCTTCCCCTCCCTTTCAGCCTGTGAGTCAGGCAGCTCATTCTTTTCCTCTCTGGATTCTCAGGAGAATTCTCTCTGCTAATTTCTTCTTTCCTGTAAACAAACTTCAAATGAAACTTTCATTAAAAAAAGAACACAGTCCATTACCACAGCCTGGCTCCAGATTTGCCTTCTCTTCACCCGTACCATGCCAGTCATGACACAGATGAAAGCAACAGCAGCTGCCCTAATCAGCTAGCACAATCTCTTTTTCTTTCTCTTGCTCCCTCCTTCCTAACCTAACCTTCCTTCCTCCCTCCCACTCCCTTATCCCTCCCCTTTCCAGCTCTCAGGAGAGATCTTCTCACACTGCAGTAAAGTTCTGTTGCTTCATTTCTAGTGTTCATGGGATTGAATGATTAGGGGTCATGAAATACTCGTGCAGCTCCTTTTCTGAAAGGCAAAGCGAGTGCCTGTCGAGTATATTCACAGGGCCACACCCAAATATCTGAACGAGGACTCCAGGTACAGCAAGGGACTTGGAAAAACATCACTGCCACTCTCCTTCTCTCCAGTCCAATATTCACATCTGCTCTACAGATGTATTTGATCTAAACAGGTATTCTAGTTAGCAAAAGAAAATGCATGTGCAATATTAATAATACTTTGCACCTCTATAGTATCTTCCATTCAAGAATCTTCAAGCACTTTATAAAC